GTCAAGAAACATTGTAGAGAACTCTGAAACGTTTCATTTTGCAGCGTCTTGTTCGATCTATCATCACGTATGACAGGAAGGAATTCTATTCCTCATTAGCAGGCGCTGAAAAACTAGAGGTTCGGTTTTCTAGAAATTCTTAAAAACGTTTTAATATCTTACGATCTCTTATCCATCTATTTTTTGTGAAACTATTAAATGATACTGATTACCAGTAGCAGCTATGATCATCTTTATAAATTACACAATACGTTCTCATTATGTATCTTTTCTATTTGTAGGAAAACATTTTATAAAAAAGAATAAATTGTTATCAATTGATAACTTATGGAATTCATTACAAGATATTTCCCAAAACCTTTCAATTTCATTCTTTATGCATTTTCAGCAATTGTTCTACAAGTTATAGTTCGAAAAAATTTCTAACGACTCGCCATTATCTAGAACACTGCGTCATCAATGCCAGATTTTACTACAGCAAAACACATGCAAAGTATGGATGCCGAATTCGTAAGGGACCGACTGCAGAAATGCTATACTTTGCACCGCATTAATTTCTATTCGACATCTTCACCAGAAAACAGAATGAGTACTTTTTTAAACTTAAATCCATACCACACCTAAGATACGACAATATACGGTCTTAGATATCACCTTGAAGTAATACGTGATAGAATAATAATAAATTGATTTGAAGGCTAATGAAATTTTATCGATGTATTTTGTTAAATGATGCACAAGAAAAGCGAGAGACAAAGAATAATGCGACTAAGTGAGTAAATGATTGGGAAAAGATACCAGTCAAGAAGATATTGAGTAGTGCGGTAAAGATGAATACAATGAAAGAAAAGAGTTGATGAGGTGAGTATCAGTGAAGAAGGTGAATATATAATGAAGAACGCATATAGTAATTAATGAATTCTTATAATTAGTAAGAAATAACTAGTCACGATCAAAATAAAATGAGTGCGACAAAGAGTATAAAATAACAAAATAATCATAAACATGAATAATAAACGATATACGACAAGAAGATAGAGAGAATTTAGGTGATGGCTAGTATTGCGACAGCTCCCCCCCCCTCTTTCATGGTTTCGAAATCATTTAGATTCTTGTTTTTGTTCGAACTACTTCTTTACGTTAGTTAGTAAAGTATCATGCACTGATTCATACTAGATGAAAACTCATTTCATATGACGAACTCACTTGATTAAATCTATAATGAATTCAGTATGTAATGAATAAATAGGAAATTGCTTGGAGCTTCCATCTCAAAAAGACTCTCTGATACAGTCCGTAACAGCTAAAATCAATTCCTGCATGAATTGTTCATGCTCACTTTTCTCCTTAGCAAAACTTTCAGTCATAACTAATATTTTCATAAAAAAGTACTTGAATATCAGGTACGTTGACAGTAAAAGTTTTAAGTCCAATGAATATATTTATTGATAAGATATGACTGTCATAAAAATCGCAAAAGGAAACATCACAAAAAAATGTTTTGTTTCTGATAATAGGGTTCCCGGAAAAATTTAAATTTTTCCAGAATGAAATAATATTTTTTGAAGGGTTTTCGCAGAAGCTCATCAAACACTTTCCTTAATAGACATATGTAAAAATTAGCCAAAGCGACAATCATCGACAGAGTAGCTTTTCTGGAAATGGATGGTAATTTTACTCAAACTGGTTCATGTATATATACTAGGCGAATTTTTGTTGATGTCGAGGATGGAAAAGTCGTACTTAATTCCAAAGCAGAAATTCATATATCGCTCATAAGAACCACAAATTCTGATCGAAAGGCAGAAAGATATCGAATACCAATGAAATTGTTGGACAACGGCAAAATATACAATGCATGCATACTTCAATGGTTACTTTCATTGTTTACCTTAGGATACTTCTCATGTAAATTAAATATCTGGATGAAGGAACAATTTAAGAAGCTGAAGTTCTTGACGCTTTCGCATCTCGCTAGTGCCTACATACAGGTCAAATTTTATTGAAGTCTACCATATGAATTGAACAAGTTTGATCGTTCCCATCATGCAATGACTTCTAATGTACACATATCGCATGTCCTTTAAAAGTTTAGGATTAAATATTACTGCAAAAAAGTATAAATATTAAACAAAATCATTCAAAACTACATTTGTTAACTGTTAATTGATAAATCTTTATTTCAACTGTCGCTTTGAAAATATCAGTATTTCATAAAAATAATCAAAATCAACATGAAAATAAATAAATAAAAAAAGAAAGATACACAAAATTAAATATGAAATCCGAGCATCAATACATGTCAATAATTATGTAGAAAATCAATTATTGCTTTAGATTGGCTACGAAAGCCACATATAAAAATATGTCTATTTATTTTTGAAGAGTATGACAAGGATTACTAAGACGATATTGCAATAATTCAACACCATTTACATACCACCAAATAAACGCACCTAATGATGAAATATGCCAAATTTGATGACTTGCAAATATAAAATCAAAATAGCCTAAATGAATAAAACAAAAGAAATTTCATTAGAAATTTCTTTGATATTAAATACCAGGAAAAAGTCTTTCAGGAAATTTTGTTAAATAGGCAGTGGTTCCAATGGCCAATATTCCATAAAGTACAAACAATTTTGGAAAAAAATGTTGAACGAATTGATTTGACCAGCCACCATGAAGATAATACCAATGTAAACCTGGCAAAAAGCCAAGAAGAGATATTGCCACAAATAAAGTAATATGAATATTTCGTGTTACATATCGTTTTACAGCGTGTACATAACATATAACAGCAATAAACATTATACAAATAATTATTGTTTCATATCGTATTCTCCAATGATGATAACATTCAAATGAAATATGAAGACCACATAAATAACAACCAAGAATACCAAGTCCAATGCCACATAAATCGATTTTGAGAAAATCTGCAAATACTCGTGATGATATACAACCAAACAGATGAAATAAAACAGAACATAACATGCATATCTATCATCATAGTATATTAATAATTTGAAAATCAAAGGAAAGAAAATTTAAAAACTTACAATCACAGAAAAAGTATAAAATAATATAAAATAATAATCTGATGTTGATTTGAGAAATGGTAATGCAGTTCCAATATAAATATCACGAAAGAAAAAGTATAGAAAAACTCCAGCGCCAATTAAATGTGACCAAACATTTACGGATTCATTATTCAGATAAAGTAAACTGAATGAAAAATCAATAAATAAATTTGAAAATTCAAGTTAAAATATATTTACCTAAGTAAACAATCTTTAAAATTTAAACCATATCGATAACCAGTACGAATATATGGATTTGATTGCAGATATTCAGGTATCATATCAAATGAATATAATTGAAGTCCATTTGATTTATTTTCATATTGATATGGCTTATCAAGTTTTCGATGTATTCGATTTCGACGCATATCATTGAGAATTTAATCTACAATAAATATGATAATTGTTCATGAATGGTTACAGTTAATGAATCAGGATTTTCTTTAAAATTAATGTAACTTATTAGATTTATTGGTTACGGATGCAGCAGTCTAGACATGCATGCCTAATATAACGATGAAGACGGTAAACAAATATTAAAACTATGATGATCTTAGATTGATTTCGAATTTTTCGGTCGAAGGAGATTTATTTTAAGAGAAAACCTGAATTTTATAAAACATGACTTAACTACAGGAGTAGTCATCTGCATCACGGTCATGATCACGACCAGAAAAAGAAGGAGATTTATCACGATAGACTTTTCTAACGAGAATAGAAGAATAAGTCGAGTTGAACATTTGATCGAAGCTAATCTCCTTTTCAAAATGTCGTTTCAAACTTGAAGATAAAATAGTCTCCATCGAAGAAAAATACTGTTAATTGGTCATGACCAATGCGCAACATGTATCTCTGCGAAAGATTGTTCTATCTTTGCGTCTTAAGCAGCATTTTGAAGAAGAGAGAATTATGAACAAAAAAATTCAACTTGACTTATTCTATTAGTCTCGTTAGAGAAGGCTTTTATGAAAGACTTTTCAAGTTTTTTGGCCACGAGTGCGACCACGATGCAGATCTTTACGTAAGAATTAAATCTTTCTCGAACGAGAAAACTAAACTTGAGAATTTCAACAAAACTCCTTTAGAATAGAATTCTTGGACTACGAAAACCTTTAGGCTGCTTTTATAAAATATAGATGTTTTCTTGAAAGTCTTGTCAATCGAAAAAATCAAAATCAATCCAAGGTCAACATAGTTTCATCATGCGTTCATCGTTTTCACCATTATTCTATACGTACCTGTTTAGATCAGTGCACGGGTGAAGCTGAACATCAGACGAACAGCGCTTCATCACCACTGTATCCCTACGGTTGATGTATCGAAAGAAAAAACTTTAGAATGAAGCTAAATTCATCATAAACCAATTGTGAGACAGCACTGATATCTGCATTCCTATGAAGATTGAATTATCGCTTTCAATGAAGTCATTAACTGTGGTTGTTGAGTTCAGAATCTATTATTCGGTACTACTTTTAATTACATCTTGGAAGATCATTCGAAGACTTCGACTTTGAATAAATGTGTAAAATTTGCATTAACTCCAAAAATATGACTTAATATCGATGCTTACAACTATTAGAAGAGAAATAAGTCTGAGAATAAAATCATATATTATTCGATTGGAAAATATTATTCATTAGTACAGTAAATCAAACCTTTTTTTCATTAGAAAAGTCGTTTGGCAAGATCTACCTAATTTCCCTTGAGTGTACATATACTTTTGTCCTCATGAGTGCCAACTGAGAAATAACTTAATTTTTCAAGTAACTCAGTATACACATTTCTCACTTTAATTAAACTTAACTTTCTTCTGAATGTAAGGTGCTATTTTGAATAATCAGAATGAAGTTAGATCAGCTGTTTTTTTTTTCTTCTATGTTTTATTTTTAACAATAATAACGATAATAAAGTAACAATTTATGATACTTCAGTTTCTTGTAATAACATATTTGGAATACCTTTTAAAATTGGAAATTTACGACCAGTTTCAGGACAAATAAGTTCACCTTCTTCAACTTCATATTCAAGCAAAATTTTATGCATTTTTCTAAGAAATTTATCATCATGTTGAATTGTTTCTGATAGTGTCTCTGGTAATAATTCCTTCAAACCAAGCTAAAGTTAAAAAATATGCATTATTATAAATTTTATTCTCAATTAAAACTTACATCCGTCACAGCTGTTCGTAAAGCATCATATTCAATACGTTGAAGAATACGAGTAATGAAGTCTCGATTATAATCTACTGATACATTTTCTATTTTAACAGCATTAATTTTTAATGGAAAACCTTTCGTCACTCCTTTGAGTATATTTGATGTAAGCATATTATGTGTAATCAACTTCATTCTTTCTTTCTTTTTTTTTATCTAAAAAAGAATTTTTTTAAATCAACAGTACATCTACCAGAAAAAATGATTAGTTCTGTCATTTATATCAGTTGACAACTACCATTACTAACGTATTTTGCTATTGATTTAATTCCAAACGTAAATAACATTAATGAGTGCAAGACCAAATATTGAACAAGGTCCTAAAGGCTTCCGATGTCAATATTAATCATATAAAGTCAACAAAAGAAACATGTGTATTACATTTTACTCATATTATCAAGTTTATCTAATAAAGAAATGTTTTCAACTGATTCATCGCTTTTAAATTCGGACTCAGTACATAAGGTAAACTGTAATAATAATTAAAGTTCACAAGAAGATTTTCTTTCTGAGATATTCAAGTTTTCTAAAATAAAAAACCTCTAGCATCTTTCGTAGAATATGAATAATTTATACGATTTTGATATTTCGTGAAAAAAAAATTCTCTGGAGGTTTTTACCTGTCTCACTGAAGTCTACCTTACGCACAGAGTCCAAGTTAAAAAACAATTGATCAAGTTGAAAACGTTTCATCGTAAGTTTGACAAGTTATGGATTGAATAGGATATGTAAAGTCACTAAAACTTCTTTCAAACCTTGATAAACATATCATATAAAACATGTATTTCTAGAAAATAAAATCTTGCAAAGGAACGTTTTCAACTAATCAATCTCTTTCGCACTAGAAGTCAATAAATTCCAAATTATCAAATATTGCTGGTTTTCAATATGATCATAAGTAATTCTTTTAGATTTTTATATATTGGTTTTTCGGATTGATCAAGTTTTCGTCAAAAATTTTCATCTGTCCAGATTATAGTGCATATCGAATCGCCTAGAAAACAGTCACTTTTTTTCTATTTGAAATATTTTTTTGCAGAAAATATAACTATTTAAATTCATAAAATAGATACATAGTAATATTTTAATTTGAATTATCTTCAAAATAATATTATTCTACTTAAAACTCAGTTTTTTGAAAACGGGACAGATTATTGTTTCATAGGCAGCTCCATAAGCTCTATAATCTGAGTAGATCCAAAATGATTTTGGCGAAATATCAATTATCATCGCAAGCCGGTTTTCTAGAAAACCCGTATGGTCGATAATTCGATAGTTTTTGGTACAAAAGCAATTACTCCATTGAAAACGTTCCGTTATAAGTTTATTAATTTTTACTTAAAAAGAAAACCTCCACAAAACAAAAAGAAGAATAAATTTCTATAAATACATAGTTAATAAGAAGAAACGTTTGAAGATGAGTTTTCAATGGTGACAATATTCATTCCGAAAAAGAAAATAAACGATAACATAAATGTACAAATGAATATTTCACTCAACTTATTTACTTACTTCGAAATGAGTTTACAACATAATATAGAAAAAAGAAAGCAAACACAGCTATACCAATAACATAGCACATAAATCGTCGATCACCTTTTCCACTTGACATAACATTCCCTAAATGACGAGAACTTCCACCAAGAAAGCTACGTGCTGTATCAAAATCGAAACGCTATAATAATAATAATAATAATAATAAAATTTTATCTTGTTTTTAAATTAGATAAGTTTTACCATTGATTCAAGAAAACGATTGTGTTCTTTTGTTTCATTGTCAATATCAATTGCAATCTTAGAAATAAAAATAAAAGTAATATTTTATGTAATTAAAATTTAATTAAATATTAACTAACATTTTTCAATCGAGAAACTTTAGCAGATAATTGTTCTGTATGCAAATCGTTTTTACTTTCCAAAGGATTCATTAAGTGAATTAATGAGATAAATCTAAAATATAAAGATTTTCTAAAACTATATACTTCATATCATTGAAGAACCATCTTGTAAAATGATATTTTTTTTTCTGCATTCTTTAAAAAGCAAACACAACAATAACAAAATTAAATACTTGAATTCTATCGAAACATGCAACTCCGTATGAGAATCTTGAATGTTACTTTTTTTTAGCAAAGTTAAATACAATTACATTAGTAGCAGAGATTTTTGAAACCATTGAATACATCTACCAAACCATCGAAATAACATTAATTAATAATGATCATGAACTTACATACTTTTAACTAAAGCAGCATCTGTATCATTCTTAAAATCAATAAAAGTTATTCCTTTTCATCCAAATGCGATTGGAACATCATGATGACCAAAAAAAAATTGACGAAAAAGTACTACTACTCGTGTTGTTTGCATTACTAACAAAAAGTGTTATCATTGAAATAGTAGTACTAACTAATATTGTTTGTCCACCAATCACATAGTGGTAATCCATTTGTAATTTGGCTGCAGTTTCTACAATAACATTCGTAGTACAATTCATTTCTTCAGAGTTCGTCAATGCTACAAAGAAAGTAATTGCATAAATTCTGTTTGTAGAACTTTCTTCATAGGGAAATAATTGATTACTATAATGATTTTGTTGAAATATTCGATCGTCATGATATGGAGAAGAACTAATTCTCAATGTACATAAGATAGAGATCTAAAATAATGATTTGGCTGATATTCATTCTTATATAAGTAACATTCTTTTAGAACAATAGTTAGTTTTCGTTTAACCCAATTGCAGATAGACTAGGATTCTGATAGTTTCATATCAGCCTCTCTTAAAGCATCTTTTGTACTAGCTCAGACGTACTTTACTAGAGCTAAAGCTGATAATTTTCTTTTTTTTTATGGTAACTGTTATAAATCATTATCTTTAGTCGATACTCAATGTATTGTTCGAAAATTTTTATCTTAAGGAAAAATTTAATGCATAATCATATGTTGTTCATGAAGGGTACAATTAGACGGTAGTGAAGGTATATGTAGGGTGCCTTTATGTTAGTTCAGTTCTGGTTGATTGATTGCCGCTAGAGAAGTTGTCTTTTTAGTTATTTTGATAAACTTATGACATCTGAATCACATTTAGCTGAAGTTATAAATATTAGGGTATCATAAAAAAAACATTATACCTTGCAATTCGTGTAAAGTACTTGCTGAATTTTGTATATCATCAAAAACAAAAAAATGCTTGTCCACGTATTTGAACATAATGTATAAAAATAACAACAATGAATTATAATGTGATTTTATTTTATTTTTCCATTTAAATTCTCTACATAAAGCTGATGATTAGGTGGAATAAAATTTTCTGTTGATGTGTTTACTGCTGTACTAAATATTTATAATAAATATAAAAAGTATCGACACTCTATCTATATTTAAAATCATATCTAAGATAATACACTATAATCTTTTGTTTTTTGTTATCAGTATTGGTTCGTATGATATAAATTAAGAAGTTTGTAAACGAATATAATCAATGAATACCATTGCCCACGTCTATAAGACGAGCTTCACAAAAAGCATCAAAATATTTTTGTTGAATATTTGATATAAATAATCAGTAAATATTGATGAATGTAAAACTGATTAATTCATTATTATGGCATTTGAAAACATTGTGCCGTTAGTAAACTGATTTGTTTTTGTTTAGTAGTTAATTATTAATCATATTTTTTTAGTCCAAGGTTTTTTATACCGGTTTTTAAATAATTAAATAATTTCCATGGATTGTTTTTTAATGAAGCTTGGAAGTGTTGATTTGGAGAGGGAATACTCAAAGAAACATCCATTATTTTAATAATTTCCTTTTGATATAGAAATCAATCTAATCTAGATTTTTGTATTAATGAGTTTACCAAATAATGAATGAAACGTAAAAACAATATTCATGGGAAACTTTCGATTGGATAGTTTATAAAGACTATGAGGTTTATCTATGTGCTAGAGGTCGCATTCTACCGTTTGGATTATAGAGTTTGATATTTTCAATATGAGAAAAGACCAAAAACACCAAAATAAGGATATGAACAACGAGAAAGCTTAGATTGACCATTTGCTAAACAAATGTTTTGTCAACTTCTGTCAGCATAATCTTTAACTATTCATTGTGAATATCAAACGCACAATTGTGATACTATAAGGCGATCGAAAAGTTTCGACTCCTCTCAGTAAATAGATATTATCCATGACAAGCTTACGGGATGTCTCAAAAAGTCGATGCAAAAAGTTCATTTGAATAGTCCTTAAGTAGTTCAAGCGATTTCTATATTTCTTTAATAATATCATGATATGTATGCTGCAAAGTTTTGTTAAAGACCAAATTTAAGCTGCCTATCATTATGAAATGAAAATGCAAGTTAAATTCGACCTACAAAGTTTAGGTATATGTTGTACTAGGAATGTTTTTCTAAAATCAGTATAATAGTAAATAGACAACAATCTGAAAGAGCTTCGAAAATTACAGAAGAGAAAAATCGACAACGTTCATGATTGTTGTGAAAGTGTGCCACTATCGAGTGTTTGAGATGTTATAATAGTCTGTCTCATTCCACAAACAATAGCATGCTTAATAATGACTTAATATCTTTATTATCTAGAAAAAAATACTTCGAAATGCATAAATGTAGTCGCAACGAGTTTACAAGAGTATTAGTAAAGATGCTGTCGTGCAGCATAAATCAAACAGAAAAACAATTATTTTTATGCGTGTATTTGCCAAATATCAATTCTTCAAACACGAAAAAGAGTCGAAGCCAATACGATTTGCACATTATTGAGACATAAAGTTCGACATTTTTTAAAGACTTCTGCATCGGCTTACTAATTAAGAATTAAATAGCAAATAACTATCATCAAAAATTAGACAACTTTATTCGTTATTCATCCTACCAGTACTCAATTGGCGTTCGACATCAGCTGCAGTTGTTGACATTGAATTAAGTGATCAAGCAAGTTTTTATAAGACAGCGGAAATCTATCGTCATATCTCATACGGTCTCGTACTCATCTCGCTGTCGAATATCTTGCCATCCTGCGACGATGTAGTCTAACTCGATAGCTTGCGAATTTTTGATATCTCGCAATAATACTTTTTCTCAAATATGAAGAATGAAATCCTAATTGAAATTCTAAAAGCATTACGAGAATCGGAACGCAGAAATCGATAAAAGTCGTTCCCGCAGAATACTGGAATGTAGTACAATATTATGACCATTTCGCTAACCTTGAATGAATATTCTCATTAAACATCTTTGAGAAAAAATTAAAAAGGTTTTTTTTTAGATAATAGTTGTATGCCTTTTGATCACCGAGCTTTTTTTTGTATCGAATTTATCTTATTTATTAATTATGATTGGAGTTTTATAACACTTCATATGGGGTTAAAGGCTTTCATATTGAAAATCTTATTTTATGATGTTTAATGTTTTCAATTTATTCTTTAAAAGACTGATTGCTCGGATTTATATTTTCGATAGTTTTATTAAAAAACTTCCAGTATCCGTTTCAAAAGCCAATAGATAGTTTACGGCTAATAGAAAACTTGTGAAATGTCATTCAAAAAGATTTATGAAAATATGAATTTAATTTATTACATGATGTTAAATAAAAGATTTTAATGTAGAAAAAAATGTGAGAAAATGCTCAACAGTATTCCAAAAAGGTTAAAAGCAATCGTCCGAAAGCAAGGTCAACGCATCACACAACTCATTTATTCATATACAAAATGTCAATCTATTTGACTTCTGTATCATTTAGATATTTTATTCAAAAAAAAAAAAATTGTTTTAAATTTTTCTCAAAAAATGTAAATTTAAATGACAGCTCTAATCTTCCGCTACAAAATAACATATTTCAATCAATTAATCATATATAGGTTTCTCCTAGATATCCTCAATTTATTGAAAGAATTCGAAACGTGTTGACTATCTTTGATGTATTTGATAAAACAAAAAGTATGATTACATATTATATCTATATGCATCGATTTCATGAGTTGTGCATTAAACTAGTAATCAAAAAACATCTTTTCAACAGTTGTACATATCGTTATTGAAGAATGTCAGGTGAAATTTCATAATTATTGTTTATAATCTTGTCGGATAACAATAGCAAGAGCGTATATGTGTAGTTGGCAGATATGACAACGATTGCTTTATGTATGCTGTAGCACATGTGGTTCTCTTATGCATGCTCTTCATTCCCAACACTTTTGCTCCTCTTTTATCCGATGATATGTCAATGAAGAAAAAAAAAAGAGGGAGCGAGGACGTTTTTTTCTTCCTCGTCTATTATTTCCTCTCACATGCATGCATTTTTTTCTTTCGTAGTGTTCTCTTTCCGAGAATGAGAGACCAATAAAAACGTCACTATCATGACAAAGTTTTCTCGAAGAAAAATATTTTTTTCTGAGTATTATGCTTACTTATGTTCATTGTCATAGAGAACGCGAGAAAAAATAAAGGTGAAAGAAAAATGTTTGACATTGATGGAAAAAACCGCGATCATGCTGGGATTGTATGATGAACAGTAAGAAAGATTTATTTAGATGCTTTTTATAACAACTATTATACAAGTAGCAATAATTTTCAATTCTTTTTTTGTTATTTTGTTCAATGTTATATACACTTGACAAATATAATAACTCGTCTTATTCATTATTACACACGGTTATTAACGTTATTTCTGTGATGGGTGTTTACGTATGCGTATGTGATGTAAGTTCTATCATACGGTAAGAGTTATTATTAAATCTAGCTTTGTTAAGCAAAAAATGAAGTCGACCAAAAATCAATCAACTTCTATTTATAGCTCCGTATAAGAAAGAAACTGATAGATATGAATTTTATAGATTATGGCGATTAGTTAAGTACGTGATATATACCATACATAAATGCCAAATTCTACTAATCAAATGTATATG